TGCTGTAGCTGCACAGTTTCTGCGCACTAAGTGGCTCGGCAGTGTGTACACCTCGGGAGTTACAGTGCAGAAAACTGCTTTACTGTGCAGAAACTTGCCAGTGTAGACAAGGCCTAAATTTCTTCAAATGTTTTTGCAAGGCCTGGGCTAACTTTTGACTGTGCTTGGGCTGATTTGTGCTTTTCAAGGGCTGGGGGGCGAGAAGGAGAGGAGCTTGCTAAAGTAGGTGGTTTTAGATTGATTCAGCTGAGGGGTGGGGAATGCCAGGTGGAGTGGTCATAGCTGATGTTTGCTTGGAGTTTGGGACCTAAATAACCTATATGAATTAGGTGCTAGGCACTTTTATGGCAGCTTAAAGCAGCTATAAACCCAATTTAACCCCACTTGGGAGGATTCTGTCTGAATAGGGCAATTCTTCTGTAGCCATTGTACTGGCTTCTATATCTTCCCTCTACCCCACTCACTGGTCTACAGGTGATGATGTAGGAGATTTGGCAAACTGGCCATTGCTGGGACACCCCTGTCACTGGTTGATATTTGACTGCCAGAATTGCCTGTTTAGGCTGTGACAGCTGGGCATAAGGTTGGAGTAGCTAGGCTTCCTGCTGACCTTGAGATCAGGGGAGCACACAGGTAGCTTATAATCATATCTGTTCCTGGTCTTAGTATGAGCACAGCTTGGCTAGACTAGAAAACCTGTCCTGTTGGGTTCATTTGAACCCAAGACTCGGGTTGTGAACCTGTGTGAACTGAAATTAAGAAAAAGCCTTGTACCACTGATCTCTGCAATCTGAAACTGCGAAGTTTCACAGAGTGAAACCTAAGAGTGGGGCAAAGCCCTGTGTAATAAGAGTCCGGCAGGGCATGGAAAATATCAGGGGGTAGGGAAGAGAATCCTTAGTTTACAAGCAGCCAAGCCGTCCGCACACCAAGGCCACAGGCTGCAATGCAGGCCATTGAGAAGAATAGCCAATGCTCTCTGTTACACTGTATATAGGGCTTTTGTGTTACTGAATCTTAGTATTCCCATACATCTGTAGTTTCCGGTAAAGATGAAGCGGGGAAAAGGAGTTTCAGTAGGCCTCTGGCTGGCTGAGTTTCTTTTGAAATGATTACTTTAATGCTGCTGGGATTGTATTATTGATGATGCATTAGGGTGCCTGGAGCATTGACTAGATGGCTTCATTTTAAATCTAAATAAGTATTGCATGGTCCCATTGGTCAACCACATTGCATGCCTGTCCACATAGCTCCTTCTGGTGGTGGTGGAAGCTCAGGCTATCAACTGAGATGTCATTTGTAATTGCATAGCATGGTGCCTGGCCCCACAGCACAGAATCTCCACTGCTATTGGCTTCCTGCACAGCTGAGCCTTGGCTTTGAAGTTAATTCTGTGGGCATGTAGGCTGCCCCAGGATTTGACTTTCAATGCATACATTGCATATTAATAATCTGCAAACAGTACAAAGATTATACAAGCTGCTTTCTGTTTGCTTTTCTTTATGAATAGACTACTTCCTTTAATAGACTACCACCTCTTCCTTTAAAAACACCAACTAAAACAGTAGATGCCGCTTATATGTTTTGAAAAAACAGTATTTAATTTAAGTAAATCAAATCAAATAAAGACCATATTCTTTCTCCTGTTGGGTTCTGATACATTCCTTCTAATTACAATAATCTTAAATGACATGACACATTATTTGGACATGAAATGAACTATGAGATAGTGTAGGATTAGAGCGACATCAAAGCCCTGATTGATTTTCAACATTATGCAAAGCCTCTCATTTTCCTTTTGACTCAGAGCGCCATGCAGATTATAGATTGTATTCAGTAATCATAGGAGTGCTGTTCTTCCCTGGCCATGGATAAATCTGTATCAGCATTCCCCTTATAAACCCCTAGTTTCAAAGGGCTTTATAGTTTGTCCATAAAAATTTGTTCTGTGATGGAATTTGGTATTAAGGTCTCATCCCAGGATCAGAAGAATTTTTCTTTAAACATTTGATTACTGTTTGCCATTTCTGAGATGCTGTCTGAGTTTTAAAATGGTAGAACTCAGTTCCTTAAAGTGCTCCCCACTCCTACAATTCAAAAACAGCTTTATTTTCCAAAGTGAATGTTGACAGGTCATTATTAGACTGTTCTGTGGATTTGTGCCTTTCATTTCCTAGGCAGTGAGGGGTCAGGAGGGTCAGAGAAACAATGCACTCAGCTCCCAGAGTGAACTTCACCTAACAGTGACTCCTGCCACCAAGGTTACTTCACTCAGCTCTCGTGGACAGAAGAATGATGGGATAAAGCAAAGCCCTGTTTTCAAGCAGGAGGGAGAAGGGGATTAAAGTACACTTCTCAGGAAGGTGTAGGCATTCTTTAGGCAGGCTGAGCCAAGGCCATGCACATTGTTTTCACAAGTAAGTCAGCAAATGGTTAGGAGAGATTGGGTTTGTGAGGAAAGTCCTGGGGGTAAACTGGCTGGATTGCAGTAATAAGCAGTGGTGGAAAGGGTGGTTATGTTTACTCATAAACAAAGAGCAAACTGTATGATGACATTTACTTTATATTGAGAAACAGCAAGTCAAGCGAGAACAAAAGTAACATCTCTGTGTGAGAACACACTGTGTGTGTCCTCTCCGTGGCAGACTGCACAGAAATCTGCTGCTCAAAATGGCTGCCAGCAGCTGCAGACAGCAAACTTCTAGACATGTAAAAGTGCTGTACACAGACAACAAGTTATAATATTTGTAAGCTACACATAGCACAGCTGTCTGCATTGAGACTTTCCCTTTAGGTGCAATGGGCCTAATTCTGAGCCCATTGAAGTCAATTGGCATCTTTCCATAGCCTTGAATGGGCTTCAGATCAGGCCCCATGTGAAGTTGTTGCATCAGCCCAGAAGAATCTTTGGGATTGTTCTAACAAGTGCTGTTTGCAGGATGTGAGAAGGTTTGAGCAAAATAAGGGCTGTTTAATGCTCACTGGGGTGTTGTGTAACTCTCAGCTGTAGGGTGACCAGACAGCAAGTGTGAAAAATTGGGACGGGGATGGGGTGTAATAGGAGCCTGTATAAGAAAAAGACCCCAAAATCGGGCCTGTCCCTATAAAATTGGGACATCTGGTCACCCTACTCAGCGGTGGTCTTGCACAGATTATAAAATGCCCCCAAAGAAACGGTACCATATATACTCGTTCATAAGCTGAATTTTTTTAGTAAAAAAGGAAGCACCAGAGAGGGGGGTCAGCTTATGAACGGGTATAGAGAGGGAGAGGTGGGACACAGCCCCCTCCTCCCCCCAACAGAGGGAGCAAGGAGAGGCAGCACAGCCAGAAGGGAAGAGGCGGGGCCAGAGTCTCTCCGCTTCTGGCCACGCTGCTCTCCCCCCAGCCTCTGAAGCAGCTGCAGCTCCGGGTCTGGCAGGCTGCAGCCGTGCCGCTTGGCCCTGCCCCCAGAGCAGGCTGTGGCCGTGCCGCCCGGCCCGTTGGAGCATGCTGCGGCCGTGCTGCCTGGCCCAGCCTGCTGGAACATGCTGCGGCCGCACCGCTTGGTCTGGCCTGCCAGAGCAGGCTGCAGCCACGTTGCCCAGCCTGCCGGAGCAGCTCCAGCCAGGCCAGACACATCCTCCCCTGCCCCTCCCCAGATAAGGTGGATAGGGATGGGATGGGGAGGGGTGGGGTCATGTAGGTGGTGAGCTCAGGGGTTACCCCCCTGACCCGCAGCTTCTCCCCCACCAAAATTTCCCCATCAGTTGCTGTCCCGGCCCGTGAGGGTAAGCAGCTGGCGCGCCGGGACTCTTTGTTTACTTAGGTTTACCTCCATGCCTGTAAACAAACCATGTCGCTTGAGGTAAACAAACCATGTCGGCCCACCAGCGGCTTATCCTGATGGCTCGGGAGCCAAAGTTTGCTGACCCCTGAATTATAGGGTCGGCTTATGAATGGGTCATAAACATTTTCCATTTTTACTTATCCATCTTGGCGGGGGGTCGGCTTATAAATGAACTGGCTTATGATCGAGTATATATGGTAGTTAACTTAGGGTGCACAATTATACATTTAGGAGCTCAAACAGATGCTTGAGGGATGATTGGAGTACTCTGATGCAAAATGGTTGACCAAGTTTGAAAATTGGTCCCAAAGACTTAAGGTTTTATCCTGCAGACCAACTTCTGTAAAATGGGGCCCTTAATGTGTATGTGCAACAGGTGGACCAACACAAGAGTGGTGATGCCTTTCAGAGAACACAGGTGTAATAAGTAGGGATGAATGGGCCAGTTCAAAATAACACTAGTCCTGAATCTTAGTCCTTCAAATGAACCACATCCAAGCCCTGTTAGTTTCAGATATTACCACTCCCTCCAAAATCTTTGACTGCCCTTCTAAAAATTATCTACCCTGCTTCTTTAAATTTAGTCATCTGGCCTGGATCTGGTGAGTCTTCTTGTTCTTTACCCCTCTCCCCGCATAGTTTTGCTTCCCAAGAATCCCCTTCCCAATTCACTCCTGATGATATGTTCACTAGATCCCACAGTCTCGGATGGTCCTGGGCCCTGAATGGTTTTATTTTTCAAATCTCAAGCTTCAGGTCTTCTCTGGATTATCAGAGAGTGGTGGTTGTTGTATGAACAGAGGCAATGTGATCCAATGGCCAGGAAATTGGATTGGGGCTTGGTACTTGGACTGGCTAACACAACTGTGCCACTGACCTTGGGCAAGTCATTTCACTTCTTTTGCCTCTGTTTTTCCCTCCTGCTCTTTCTGTCTTGCCTATTTAGATTGTAATCTCTATGAAGCAGGGACTGTCTCTTACTAAATGTATGGATAGTGACCAGCACAAAGAGGATCCTGATCTTGGTTGAGGTTTCTGTGTGCCACTGTAATACAAATAACTCCAATACTTTAACACTGTATAGAATATCTAGTAAGACTCATGATGATGAGTAACCTGCTTATCTTTGAACTGGGATGGAGCTCAGTCTGTCTTTCTTTCTTTTCTTTAGGTAGTGCTGCCACTATTAGAAGAAAAACCCCAAACAAACACAATTAGCAGGACACAAAGGAATCACACAGGGCATGGTATGTGTCACCAATGGATGTCACTGTGAAGATATACTCCACTTGTGAAAGTCTGAGGGCACTCCGCAGTAGCTGGACATACCCTTCATTAAGGGTATGTCTACACTGGCAAGTTTCTGTGCCACAAGTTATACCACTTCCATTAAAATGCTGGAATTAAACCGCTGTTGCATGTCCACATTGTGCTCCTTGTGATGCTGGAGCGCATCCACATTAGCAGTTCTTGCAACGGCAAAGGCAGCAGTGCATTGTGGTAGCTATCCCACGGTGCAACTGGCCGCAGGCTGCTTTGGGAAGGGTTTGCAATTCCTCATGGGGCAGGCACAGCGTCACATGATGCAGGTTTCCCAATCCAATTGTTCCATGGGCATCCTACTCAGGAGCGCCACCAGCTCTTCTGCCACCCTAGGTGGCAGAAGGTCCCGCCCCGAAATGCCGCCCCCCACAGAGGCAGCGAAAGTCCCGCCGCCAAAATACCGCCGCGGTCGCCGCCCCCCAAATTGTAGTGCCCTAGGCGACCGCCTAGGTTGCTTAATGGGTTGCGCCGCCCCTCATCCTACTACGTTGCCAGCTGCTTTTCAACTGAAGTGGGGGCAGGGGGAGAGTGTGTGACAGGGAGTGTATGTATGGACGGGGGGGAGAGAGACAATGTGTTTTGGGGGACAGACAGTGTGTCAGAATGCTGTCTTGTAAGTTCACACAGTGGCAGGAAGCAACCAGTTCTGAGGCATGGGGAGGGGAAAACTCGGACATCAACCCCCGCTTCCCTTTCTGGGCTCTCTACACAGCAATCTCTCTCTCTCGCGCGCGCGCACACACACACACAGGCCGTGGCTACACTCGAAACTCCAAAGCGCTGCTGCGGGAGCGCTCCCGCGCCAGCGCTTTGAAGTGCAAGTGTGGTTGCGCGCCAGCGCTAGGAGAGAGCTCTCCCAGCGCTGCAGGTACTCCACCTCCACGAGGGGATTAGCTGGGGCACTGTTTACACTGGTGCTTTACAGCACTGTAACTTGCTGCGCTCAGGGGGGTGTTTTTTCACACCCCTGAGTGAGAAAGTTGCAGCGCTGTAAAGCGCCAGTGTAGCCATAGCCAGAGACACCTGCCTCTGTGTTCAACAGCATGAGCATTCCACATTAATGGTTTGCTTTGTGTCCCAGAGCAGATCAGTACAGCACCCAACGGCTGTCAGAAACAGTGCTTTGAAAGGGGAGGGGCGCATGTCTCTGGGGCAGCTGAGCTCAAAACAATGAGCTGAGCAGTCACTTGAGGCATTACGGGACAGCTCCAGAGGCCAATTACAGCGCAGAAAGCAATCCAGTGTCTACACTGGCAATAGAGCGTTGGAGCCTCTGCGCAAATAGCCTTACAACTCTCGTCGAGGTGGGTTTTTTGCAGCACTGCAACTGAGGAGTTTCTGCGCACAGATTGGCCTGACAGTGTGTACACGTCTGCAGTTTGAGCGCAAAAAAACTGCTTTACTGCGCAGAAACTGCGTAGACAAGCTCTAAGGAAACTGTGCTGGGTCAGGTTTGTGAAAGTTCTCCCAGTCCCATTTGGACCCGCTGAAAAACTGACACTACTGTATTAGCAAGAAAGAACTCTGCTCTGGTTCCAGTAAGTCATTCAGGTTCAAAGTATTGCATAAACAAGCACAACAACACTTCCTAGTTTGTGGAAAACAATGGTGAGGAACAATGTTAAGGAACTGTATTTAAACTCTCCCTTAAACACAGTTTCAAAGTTGTCAGACCTTATCCATACAATACAGATAAAATGGAGTATCTGTCATTCCCGTGGTAGCATTGAATATACTTCTCATAAACAGAGCCTAAGAGGGATTGGATCCAGATTATTTAGTGTTTGTTTTAGATGATGGTAAAACTATGCTACTTCCGATTTTGTCTGTGTTACACACACACAAAGTTGTTCTTAATCGTGCATATGTAATGAAAGAGGCATAGTACATCGTACATAGTACATCTTCTAGTAACACACTATCCAGATGAGGAAGAATGGTAAAATAATGAAAGCTGGAAAGGATAAGCAAACGTATCCTATTTTAATCACAAAAAATAATTAAAATGGATTGGCTTAGTTGAAATATCCCATTGTTATACTCAAAACCAATGCGTAAATTTGGTTTGAAAAAAACAAATTAAATGAAGTTGTCCTTTGAAGAAGTGTTTTTTTTTTTAATTCCTAGATCTCACTGTATTGGTTGCACATCCCACTCTGCTAAAAGCTCTGCCTTTACTAAGAGCGACTGATAAATAATCCAGAGGATTTTTGGCTCATTCTGTTAAGCAATAATGATCCCACAGTGCCCATGTAGTTTTATCAATTACTAAACCACAACCTTTTCAGTCGTATAGTCTCTCGAGGTAAGGAACATTTTTCAGTGTTTTGGCTTGTCTTAAAGTTTGTCTTTTCTCTTCACTTCCTTTTGATTTTTATAATGACAATCAGGTGAATTAAAGACTTATACTCCCATCTTTTCAATTTACCCCAAACATATTCATCTCGCATTCTGCTCCTGCTTCTGATTGTTTGTTTCTTGACATTTAGATTTGAATTTCAGTTTTATTGTATTTTAGTTTTTGCTGATTGATCTTAAATTGTATTTATTGCTGTGGGAATGTAGTGTTTTGTTACTAGTAATTTATAAAGCTACTAGTCAGATTGCTCCTGAAAAAGAGATTGAGTTAGTAATCAAAATGGGTTGCTACCCTCTGGATAAATAAAGATAACAACATGACCCAAAGTCCTAAATCTAACACTGTGAAACTTGAGCCCAAAATAATTCATTTAAACACTCAAGGTAAATTGCAAAGCTAAACTGAACACTGGGCTAAATCCAGAAATATGTTCTCAGAGCCCCTAGGATCCAGGCTGGGGAGAATGCATTCAGCACAAAGATAAGTTTCAGTTTACTATTTTAAAAAATATATTTTATTCACTTCTCTTCACATCTATTGGCTAATCCTAATTTGCTAAAGACATCCCACAATGCATCATTCTGTGACATCACTGAAGTAAAGTCCTGTGATGTCAGGAGCCTGAAGTATCACGGGGAAATACTTTGGAAAGCAGGCACTCTGTTCTGTTTCTCACTCTTGCCACCTAGTGGATTCTGACAGGTCTCCTCCCCATGATTCATTTCATTGGAAGAGAATATGTATGGAAAGTAGTCAATCCATCTGAATCCTGTAGTGAAATTCTCACTCCTAGATTTTCAGTACAGTAAGTCTGAGTCTCTCTTGTATTGCATGTTTTAGCAGCTGCACTGATGCAGCAGTGCCACTGTAAGATCTCTAACAAAGCTGCTCTAAGTCGATGGGAGAGAGGTCTCCCATTGGCTTAATTTCTCCAGCCCCCACAGTGGTAGCCATGTTGCCAGGGGATGCTCTTCCACTGACATAGCGCTGTCCACACTGGCACTTAAATTGGCATAAATTATGTTGCTTGGGGGAGTGGCTAATTCACACTCCTGAATGACATAATTTATGTTGACTTAAACTGTAGTGCAGCCATAACCTTTGATCCTTGGGTCCCATTTTTGATCTCTGCTACACCAGTGTAAACTCCAGTGCAATCCTGAGAGCAGAATTTGGTCTTGGGTTTAGTAGGTGCTGAGCACAGGCAAGTGAGGAGAAAATTGAGCTGCACAGCCTGGGATTTTCAAAGGAGCTTAATCCCACTAAAACTTAATGGGAGCCGTGTGCCTAACTCCCTTGAGGCCTGTCTACATGGGGAAATTTACAGGTATAATTATATGGTTATAGTTATACTGTTATAGCTCCCTATGTAGATATGGAATAAGAGTGCCTTTCTAGTTTAGCTTATGTCACTTTGAAAGCAGTGTAAGAAAACCATATTGAAGAAATGGAGCATAGCATATTTTAGGCAGTTTCAGCCCACAGGGAAATTATTTTCAAAAGTTCTGATTACTTGATTTCTGAGCATGTGTTCCCAGGTAGTTTTTTATGTATGAACTGCTTTTTTCAGGCTCCCAATCAGCCTGTCATTTCCATGTGCACAACTCCTATTGGATGCCAGATTTGTTTTTTGCCCTCAGGTCTCTCCAATGTGGCATATTTGAAATGTGATGTACAAAGGAAAATAGAACATTTTAAACATGCTTTACGATAACAGTTTACCTAAGCTATTTAAAAAACAGAATCTTGCTTTTACTGATTTCCCCTCTATGCCCCCTCCCCCTTGATAATTAAAATCTTGTCTACCCTGGAACTATATGGAGACTGGAGAACTAGTCAAATGATGTCATTGCAAGAGACTGACAACTGAGCAATTGAGGGAAAGGGATTTTTAATGTGTTTTAAAAGAATCCATTTTGCCGTGCATTACTCCTGTAGCAATGAAACAATCACTAAAAAAGAAGCAACTTGATAGCATTACTTCATTGAAACTCTACCATTTTAGTAAAGAGAAGAACAGGAGGACTTGTGGCACCTTAGAGACTAACAAATTTATTAGAGCATAAGCTTTCGTGGACTATAGCCCACTTCTTCGGATGCATATAGAATGGAACATATATTGAGGAGATATATATACACACATACAGAGAGCATA